TCAGCCTCTGCAGAGTATTTCAGGTGGTCCCTGAAATTCTACACCTCAGGCTGAAGCTTTTACCAGGAACAAATAGGCCTCCTCCAAGGAAGAGTGGGCGCATTTCAGTGTGCTGCCTCTGAGCTCAGCCGTGGAGGGTTAGCCACAGGGAGTCCTTGTGAGTCCTTTAAGTACCGTCTCTTCGTTCACTATAACCTTGTGGATCTCTTGGACTCATGCCCTGTTGAACTGAAAGCCCGATGTTTTGGGGGCTCACTCCTCAGGAAGAAGCTGAAAGTTGTGAGCTCCTTCCCGGTTATGTTATGGAGGGCTGGGGGTTATGGTGGCACTGTGTCTCAGCCTCTCCTACCTGTTTCATTGTGGGGTGTCCCCTCGCCACATCTGCCTGATAGGGGTAGGCGTCACTGAGCTACTTTCTGAATTTCTTTCCGAGGCACTTGTTCTGTATGTAGCTGTAGATCTGGTGTGTCTGTGGGAGGAGGCAATTTCAGGACTCTGTTTTCTTGCCATCTTTAACCAGAACCTCTCCGGTAAACTTCTTAAGTGTGTGGATTGTTGCATGTGTACACAGGGATGTGTTGGGCTTGCTTAGTAAAACATTCCTTTCACAAGCACTGTACTGAACGTTTCTTGCATAGACAGGGCTCAAGTGCTAGGGAGAAGGAGGAAATGCTACTAACTACAAAACAGAATAGATTATGAGATCTAATGAGGATGAAATTCCCCGAAAAGAACGGATGGTATATTTTGGGCTAAAGGAAACACTGCCCACAGGTGAGCGCGACAGCACGCTCTGTGTGGATGAGCACCGGCCCTGCCGATGGAGGGAGGCATCGCGATGTTCAGAGGCTGGAGAGGAAGGGGGAGTTCAGCTGATCATTGGCAGAAGCTGTGAGGTGTTTTGCTGTGTGTGTGAGAAGAAACAGACTGACCTTGATGCTCGGTGGTAGCTGGGCTTGGCTAAAGAAGGTAGAGAAAGGGTGTACTTTGGGAGTGACGAATATATTTAGTACCTTGTTTGTGATCATATCAGGGGTGTATGCATATGTCCAAAATCATACTTCAAGAAAGTTAAAAAAGAGGTAGGTAAACGAAGAAAGGGTGGTAAAGGACTATCTTTGTGTAGGTTGGAAAATTAGATGAAGTTCTGGAAGCTGACCAGGATTTAAGACTGGGTTACGGTTACTTTTTTATCCAACAGACACTCAGGAGAGGGGCCTGGCAATCTTGAGGAAAGCCTTGAGTGATGCCGTGAGAAGGGATACATCACTGCTGTGGTAATTGGGTGTAAAATATTTAACTTGAATCCAAGAGTGAGGGACATCCTACAGAGCAAGTTGCTCTGACCTCTTCTAAAATGTCAGTGTTATGAAAAATGTAGAGAGGCTGGGGAAGTGTTCTAGATCACGGGAGACTAAAAAGAAATAACTAAATACAAAATGTGACCCTTCGCTGGATCCTGAATGGAAAAAAATAGAAAGCCGTAAAGAATGGGGCTATTTCAACTTAAATTACGTCTAGCAGTGTTGTATCAGTGTTAATTTCCTGAGTGCGATCATTCTTTTGTGGTTATGTAAGAGGGCATCTTTCACTTCAGAAGATACATATTGAAGTATTTAGGGTTGAAGTGTCGTCATATATGGAATGTAATCATTAAATGGGTCAGTTAAACTCTGCACATACAGTATAAACGTGGAGTATAAACGTGGCAAACTGTTCAATTAACTCCAATTCTGCCACATTTTGAAATTATTCTAAAGCAGCCAGGGAATCTCTTAACGTTTTTTAAGGAAAAGTGAGTGGGAAGAAGGGTACGGGTCATCAGAGGTAAGGAGTTGCTGGTAAAGCTCCTGTATACGTAGTTCATGAAAGCCAAACTTAGCAAGTTTGTCTTTTCCAATAGAATATAAGCTTCATGACACTGTCCCAGTTAAAAAAAAAAATGCATAGCAACATACATATGGTATGTAGAGATGTACAGTGAGAAGTATCTCAAGGTTTGAGGAAGCACTCCAACTCCTGAGGTAGTACCCACTCTTGCTTTTAAAAAAAAGTCATTTGAGGGGCGCCTGGGCAGCTAGCTCAGTTGTCAAGCGTCTGCCTTCGGCTCGGGTCCTGGGATCGAGTCCCGCATCGGACTCCCTCCCTGCTCTCCCCCCGCTTGTTTTCCCTCTCTCTCTCAAATAAAATCTTTTTTTTATTTGACAGAGAGCGGGAACACAGGGGGAGTGGGAGAAGCAGACTTCCCGCGGAGATGCGGGGCTCGATCCCAGGACCTGGAATCATGACCTGAGCCGAAGGCAGACGCTTAACGACTGAGCCACCCAGGCGCCCCTCAAATAAAATCTTTAAAAGTCATTTTAAAGAACGCAGTTCTCTATCCACACTATGGTTCTGTAAATCCCAATCACAGCTCAGACCTTCAAAGCACGAGGATACACACTACCCGTGTGTGTCCTTCAGGAAGATCGCTGTTGTTTTTTTTTTTTCACTTAAAACACGGTTGGAAAAAAGATCACCTTTGGATTTAGTTGGATTTAGTCTTTTCTTTCAGAGAACAAAGGTTGCCAATCCATTTTCTACTAGCCAGTTAGCCGAACTCACCCAAACAGAGCACTTCTGTCCTTGTTTTCTGTTCTGCCATGTGCCGTCATTTGGGTGCTTTCTTGGGCCAGTGTTGACAGGCCTACATAATGACTGCTGCTAAGCACCCAGGGCCGTGAATCTCACTTGTTAAAATAGGCAATGCAGTTTCACATGCTTTGCTTGCTTCAAAGAAAGGTACAAAAACTCTGTTGTTTTTGGAGTTTACAGACTTTTAAGAGGCATACGTTTTTTTCCTATGCCAAACTCTCATTTTCAGTCCCAGCAGTCCAGTAGTTCTATTCAGATCTCACAGTGGGGAGAGAATCTGATGTGAACACTGCCCCCAATCACTGAGCTGTGATAAAGCCACTTCACCCACATTCTGTTCCTTCACAAAGCAAAACAACTGAAGCCTGGCTTTCCTGCAAGGCTTGACTTCTCTGCCCAGTGCCTGAGGTTCTTGAAGTTCATCATTCAGCCCCCCTACCATCTAATGAGCCCAACCAACCTGGTCTCCTCAAACCCACGAAAAGCCCCCTCTCAGTGGTCTCCATGAATGTCCAACTTTGAAATTTTCCTGACCATGGTCCCTTGATTCTTCCTTTTGGTCCATCACTTTACCTCTCTATACGCTACTCTCATGGAACACCTTAAGTACAAAATGAATTTGCTTTGAGGAATCAAGGAGACCCAGGTCTCTCCCTTTCTGTGAGCTTTCTGTGAGGTAAGATCTAGAGAGTCAAGTATAACCAGTTTAAGATCCAGGGAAAAGGAAACATAAAAGATGGGATTCCTCATGCTGGGCCTTAGGACAGGAGGAAGGGGGTGCCTAGGGGTCCGACTGTTGGTTTTGGCTCAGGTCGCATTCTCCTGGGTTGTGGGATCAAGCTCCATGCTCAATGGGGAGTCTGCTTGAAGAGTCTGTCTCTGCCCCTCTCTCCATGTGTGTGCACTCTCTCTCAAATTTTTTTTTAACGATTTTTTTTACTTATTTATTTGACAGAGCACAAGCAGGGGGAGAGGGAGAAACTTGATCCCAGGATCCTGAGATCATGACCTGAGCCACCCAGGCGCCCTTAAAATAAATCTTTAAAAAAAAGAGAGGAGGAGAAATGAGGGGGCTAAAGCAAGTATCTGTGGCCTTCACAATGTCTAAGTCTAGCATGGCAGGAAAAGCCAAGAAGCAGATGGCTGGTGACATTCTATTATCATTTATGCCTCATGCCCTCCAGCTTTCTGAGAACCCGGTCCTTGGCAAAGAACACTGTGGAAGAGTAACACTAGATCATTTCCTCGACAAACTCATCTTTCACTTAAGTCCTCATTGTGACTAAGTCATGTTCCAAAAGTCTCTTAACTGATCTCGACATGATCCAACGAGCTGTCACTTTTCATTCCCATTGAGCCCTTTCCTGCATTGGACCTGTTGCCCACATCTGCCTTCTACCTGCTTTCCCCTCCTTCACTACCCCATCGCCCAAAGGGAGGTCTTTCAAGACCCTGGATCCAAACACCTTTGTTCTACGTTTCTCCTCTCATACCCTTCGGCTACCACTTCTGTGGAGCGCACCGTCACCTCCCCCAGCCTGCCCTTTCCCACCAGTTACAGACCTGTGCTTTTGCTTCTTTCCGCACATGACTCAGACCTGCCAGTATGTACCCAGTCAAAAGGATCACGATCTCCTTCCAACCCCATCATTTCCAGGCAAGCCCCCAGCCCTAGGTACTTGGTTTGCAAATAGTCGTCTCCCAGTCTTCTAGCAAGCCTATACTATGAACTCCCAGAACTGGGCCTTGGTGTTGGCCTCTTATAGGTGGAAAGATGGGTTACTTTGGGCCAGAAACAGCTGCCGGGATACCTCTTTGGAGACATTTCTTACCAGGTATATATGATTTTCAGTGGCTCCCCAACTCTGACCAAAATGAGTCCAACACCTTTGCACAACATTCCTGTCAACGTGACCCCAGCCTTCCTCTGTGGCATTACTTCCCTCCCTCTACCCTGGCCCTTCTGCTTGGACCCCACTTTTCTACTGACATGGACTGTTGGCTCGTTTCTGCCCTTGGCCCAAGGTCTTCATCTCTACATCTCCACTTCACGCTCCTCCTTCTTCAAAGAGTGCTGGGTTCCTACTTTACCCTTCCAAACTGTTCACAAACATCCATTCATCATAAAGCCTTTTCTGTTCTCCAAAATGAACGAAACTTGACTACTATACTGCCTTGTTCTGAGTAACTGAATGGCCCCTTGAGGGGGTTTGGACTATGTGACTCATCTTCGCACCTCGAAGACCTTTATGACCGTGGCTTGTATAGAGTAGGTGACTTAGCTGATGATGTGAACCTCTGAGCAAACAGTTCACCGTTTCCAGACCTTAAGAGAAAACAAAATCCAACAGCTGAGAGACGCTTACCCATGGATTCTGAAGTCTGACTGCCGACCACCCGGAGCAGCATAGGCTGACTGCTATCCGACCTCTGAAGAGAGGTAGAAGGAGAAGACACCGTTGTACCATTCACCTTGGCCTCTGCCTGGGGCTAAGGTAGCCAAAAGAAAACAGGATTAGTTTTCAGGATAAACACTCAAATAACTGTACAAATATAAAAGGATTACTCATAGGACTCAGAAATTAGAACCTTTTCTAATTAGAAACCTCCCACATGTTGCTGTTGGTAAGCTCCATGGATATTGTCTTTGTACCTGAATTGTGCCCTCCTTACACATTTGAAAAGAAATTACAGCTATGATGGAACAAGATATATAAAATCATTAGACCAAATAACTGAAAGATTTAGAAGGTCACTTGAGAATGGTAAAACCATGTGAGACCACAACAGTGTAGGAGAGAATTCATACTTTTGTAAAGTATGAAGTAACACGATGGAGAGAACAGATCTCCAACTTTAAAATTCCCAGAAAGTCAGGACCTCGGGCAGGTAGGGCCTACTACAATGCACTGTCTTGCTAGGTTTTCACTGGAGGCTGAAAAAATTATGTTTTAGGAATTAGAAAAAAAAATCAAAAGGTCAACCAGGAAATAAGACAAATTGCCCACTTTTAGGAAACCAGGGGAAACCTTGCAGAATTTTTTTCCCCAAGGTGATTTTTAAATGGCTCAAATAAAACAAAATTTGTAGGCAACGATCTTGAACGAACATAAAAAAGATACACTAGCTTTCCTCCTCTGTCTTCTATCCCTTGAGAGCCAGCTCTTTGCTCGGCACATCCTAAGTCCTCAACAAATCAATACTTGTTGCAACTCTACAATGGACTCTGAGTTCTCTAAGAGAAGAGACAGGAATCTTGGTCAATATCCCAGGTTAGAGAGATGTGGGCCTCACTTGCTCCAGCAGCTGCCTGAGCCTATGTAACTGTGACTCCAGCTGTTTGTTGTGATCTTCCAGGATTTGCATCCTGGCTTCCAGGCGGCCTTTGTGCTGACGCAGTAGCTTGGCCTCGGCAATGAGCTCAGCATCCCGGGGACTTTGGGGAGAAGTGGGCATCATTTCAGGCGGGGACGGCAGTGGGGACAGGCCTTTATGTTCATGCTGCTGCTTGAGACGATCATATTCTGCTTGCAGATTTCTGTTGGCATCACAGAAAGTGGGAAAAGAAAAAACCCAGAAAGTTGAAAATCATCATCAGATTTCATATAAAATGGCAGAGAGATACATCTGACCACCACCACACACAACAGCAAGCAAAAGAGAGGTACTTAATGAATGGTTTTTATGATGACGATCCTCGCAATGCTTAAGAAACAAAAGAAAATCGGAAGAGTCTGTGTGTGAGGGGAGATGCTTTTCAACCTCTTATCTTATGAGCGCCACATTCAAATGAGCAAGCAGCAATGGGTTCAGTCATTTTACAACCATTTGCTTATAATGTCATGAGATTACAAATTTTTATACCTCTGTCAACACGGGTTTGCTTAAAAAAAAAAAAAATCACACATTCGCAACAGCAATGTGGAACAGCCTAGCAGCAATGTAACCATGAACCCACCACACTGTTTCAATAAATGAAACATCTGCCGTGTTTTCTTCAAAAAGTTTTTGAAGAAATAAAGCTGCAGCTTTCCGATGTATTCCCCTCGGTACCCTAGCAGCCCCTCCTCCCCCATTGCGCCCCCCCCCCCCAAAGGAGATAATGCCATTCTGAATTCAATGTCTATCATTACCACGAATGTATGCACAAAGATTAGGTTTAACTTAGTCAACATGCTGATATTTGGCTGTTCGTCTTACCTACAAAAGTGGCCGTTTCATGTGATTGAACCTGTTATTTTGCATGTTCTTAAACTTTAAGAACATTATGTTTAAGAAGATACATACCATTCTAAGAGTTGCTTTTTGCCTTCAACACCGTTTTGGAGTTTATCCAGGTTGATACATAATAGTTCCTGATTTTAATTGTCGTAAGGTATTATTCTGCTGCTTGAATAGGTCAACAACATTCTCATGCCAGTGGATATTTAAGTTTCCACTCATCACTATTACAAACAAAGATGCAATTAACTTCCTTCTGTCTCCTTGGATACCTGTTTACGAGATTCTTTACAGAACATAGCTGGATGTGGAATTGTTGGGGTTTGAGCAATCTCTTTAACTGCGTTCATGGCATCCGGTAGTACACACATTTTAAATTTCAATATATTCCTCTATGTTTTCTGCTTTTTATGTTTTAAGAAAATCTTCCTTACACCTCCATTTTAAAGTTTACACCAGGCACAAAAGATTCTGGGTGAATTAAAGACATGATCTAATTTTACTCCCAATCCCATAGGTTAAGTGATGAAGCCAGCCTCTTTGTAAAGTCCATCTTTTCTTCACTGATTTCTAAGGGGAGCTCTGCAATACATCAAGTGCCCATAAATACATCAGTGTGCTTCTGAGCTCTCTGTTCTGTGGGTTTATTTTTATGTCCCCATGCAGATCACTTACTACAACTTGAAATAAATTGGTGTCTGGGAGGACTTCCTACTCTGTCCTGCCTTAAAAGTGTCTTGGTTCTTCTTGTTGAAATTTAGGCTTTGAATAACAGTGGGGGTATATAGGTTCAACAGGGAAGAAGTGACTTCATGTTACGGAGTCTTCACATCCAAGAATGTGCGGAGTCTCTGAACTCCAATCTTGTTTACTTTACGTCCATTAAAATTCACTGTGCTTTCTCCTCTAGCTCTGCAGGTTGAATGCTGAAACCGTTTATGTTTTTTAATAAATACATTTAAGGGTATAGATTTCCTTCTTGCTTTAGAATTGCTGAGATGGTAATTCCAACGGAGGACACTGCTACTATTGATTAGAACGTTTGATCTCTTGCTTCTAGTTTCAGGAAATACCAAGTAAGATGACAGATTCCTGTTGCTCACAGATGATGCTTCGTCAGCTGAGAGAACTGCCTATTCACGAATGGTGGAGGTCTGGATCTCTGAGAAAAGGCATGAGAGGCAAGCAGAGTCTTCCCACTGTCCAGCTTGCAAAAGTAAGATCATCTCATGACCAGGTTTCAGTTAAGGAAATATTTTCGGATAGTCCATACTTGAAAGATCCACAGGGGATGGTATGGCTTCCAAAATGCTGGATGTCCACGTGGAAGAAGACATAAAATCCAGTGTATTCTTTTTTTCTTTTTAAAGCTCTATCCTGGACCTAATTTTACAAGGTTTCTAGAATTGTTGAAAGTCATGCAGGAAATCGATACCTGATCTTTCTCATCTACAGGAATATCCTCTCTGATCTGTTTTGACTGAAATCCTGTCTATCTTCTATGAATCTGCAAGGAGGGCTGTGTGTACGCACTTTGTTTCAGGGCAAGTCGCTTTGACAAAGGAGTAGTAAGACACTTCATCGAAACAAGTTTACCCGAAGCCAGATTCTGCACATCAGTCCTCTAGGTAGGAACCAATGTATATAGTTGACATCAATTAAATCCAATTCCTAACTACTCAACTGGCAATCGTCGAAATATTTCTGTGAACTTGAAGCAGCATCCAGTGTTTACGAGGTTTCATGTGATGGGAGTTAACTTCCCCCCCCCCACCTCCCCCAACAGCTGCTCATGAACCTAGAAGAAATCCAGCTTCACTGCAAAGTCCCAACCAACACCACCCTTTAGCAGAGAATCCTATTCAAGATTCTTCTTTCTACCAGACTGTTCATCCACAGTGTTCATTTTGAAAACACTATTTTTAGATGTGGACTTCAGCATAGTACAGCAAATGATTACCGTCTTCCCACCCACTCTTCACAAAGATACACACAGGAGAGACTACCTTTTCTGGAGAGGTCTTCCTTGGTATCTTGATCTTCTGGGTCGAGTTGTCCAAAGATCTTTTTCTGAGTTCTTTCTAAGTGTCTTTGTTCATAAAACACGGTTTAGTATATACAACACATTACATTTCTATTTATATGTTTTCCAGGCAAAACCAGAAAAAGCTCATTTGAATCTGCCAGGGCTGTGAAGAATACCAATTGCTCTACGGAGGCCCTTTCTTGCCTTCCCAGATGTGGGAAATTGCTCTCAGGAAACCATTTCCTTAAAGACTCATATCCTTCTTCAGTTCTGGAAGATTCTCAGCTATTGTGGCTTCAAATACTGCTTCTCTGCCATTTCCTCCATGTTCTTCTGAAACTCCTCCTAGATATATTTGGGAGCCTGGTGGTAAATTCTCCATTTCTCTTCACTGCTTACTTACGTTTTTTTAATTCCCCGATCTCTGATGGGGTACAGTCTAGTAATTTCAATGACCACAGTTTGCGTTTCCAAAGATGTTCTTTGGCAGATCCATTTGGTTCTTGGCTGTTTTATTTTTTACATATCTATTTAAGTCAGCCCTACACCCAGAACTGGGCTCGAACTCATGACCCTGAGATTGAGTCACATGCCTTACTGACTCAACCTACCGCCGGGCGCCCCAGTTCTTGGCTATTTTAATAAATGCTATTTCCTTATCGCGTTCCTCTCCTTCTCAACTCACCTCTCTGCGTCAAGCAGTTTTGTGGCTGCTCCCACCCAGGGCCTCTGGTCTAGAGCTAGGTCTTTGCAAATTTATGGCTCTTGGATTGAGTGGTACGAATGCAGTGATTGCTCTCTTTCATCACCAGGCACCATGGTTCAGGTCCTGGTTTCAAGGCCATGAAGCGATGCCCTCCTTCGCAACTGCACACCTCGCCTCCTCCCCAGGCTACCTACAGGAGAGTGTCATGCCACATCCATGGCTACGGAGAAGCTCTTGTCCCCTGCAGAGGCCCAAATTGGTCATTTTTCATTTCAAGTACAAGTCTGTGTGTATGTCTCTCCAAATGTGTTTTTGTGGAGCCCTGATTTTTAAAAGGTGGGGGCCCCGCGCCAGGCATTTAAAGAGAATTTTAATTCCTGTGGTTACAGCAGGAACAGAAAGTCCACTAACTTATCCCTACATGCTGCTCCCCAAGCCCTGGTTTTCTTCTTTTCATTCCGTATGTTATCTACCACTGGATCAATAGCAGGAGCAGAGGAAGATGCCTCAGAACAAGGGCTCAGGTTATCTTCATCAGATTCCTACCCGGACACGTTGGCTTTATGGACGTAAGGTCAGTGCTCCCTCAGTGTGCACGCAAACATAAATTCACCATAACAGGATGCAACGAGCCAAATGAGTGGGGCACCTGGCTGGCTCGATCAGTAGAACATGCAGCTCTTGATTCTGGGGTTGTGAGTTTGAGCCCCATGTTGGGTGTCAAGATTACTTGAAAAAGAAAATCGTTAAAAAAAATAAATGAGGGGCGCCTGGGTGGCTCAGATGGTTAAGC